GACCTTGTCACAGGAAATCTAACCCAGTACTTTTACAAAATCCTGTTCTGATAGTAACCATTTGGTCACTAATGACTAAATTTGGGAAGGAATCTCGAGAGTTTAAGTAAAACGCCTTGACCAGTAGAATTCGATTATGTCGGGTGTGAATCAGTCTTCGACCGTCGGCAATGGAAGATGGTTCGATAATATCGCGAACTGAATGAATTTAGACGTACTCACCACTGTGTGGTGGCTCAGTGGTCTGGAGGCATGGATTTCGCCGTGAAACCGGAGGGTCTTAGGCTCGGTTTGCTGTGTCAGCGTCGTGGACAGTCCCATACTAGAATAAAACAAGTATCCAGTTCCTACTGATTCTTAGTGGTGGTCTACTTAGGGTTGATTCAGGGAGCAACAACAGAAATTAGAGTAGAATAACATGATTTCATCATATTTCGTCAGATCCTTTTTAGCTGCTTACAACTTGTGGTATCTAAAAATCAAGATTGCTGAGTTGAAAATATTAAAGTAGATGAATTTGGTTGTAAGTCGCTGTGATCGCAAATGCGTAAATAAATTTTGGGGACCAAATAAAAACCTGAAATATCTTTGTGTAAAAGTGTAAAATAGCATTCTAAAACACCAATATCAATAAAAGCTATGACCAAAGGTCTAGAAATGATTGGTCAAAAAATGGTATTGATAAGTAAGAATAAAATGCTTCGATGTCATTTAGTTGACGCTAAAACTATTAAACTGGAAGAAAGCCAAAAAAGTGACGTAAAAACCAGTCGATTGAGTGGAAGACTTTAAATAAATTTAATGACGTAACGAAATGAAGTTTAAGTTGTCGAGGCAGAGAAAGATAAATAACTATTTCTTGACTACGTAAATGAGATTCCTGATTCCTGTCAGGAATAGCATCAACAAACTCCAGAAGACTGGGGTTTGGTTGTTTATTAATTAAGGTATCGACTTGATATTTTCTGTCCAAGAGATGCCCAGAGATTGTGCTATTCAAAGTACTTCTCCTTTTAGACAGAAGACTTTTTAAACATGTCAAAAGAAACTAATATAATCTTTCCTTTCTGCTCGACTAATGTAGCTGCTTTGGTGTATATATGTAAATTTATAGACACAATCGGGGGTAATATGAAGAGGGTATTTGCTAAAATTGACTAAATTATTTATTATCCTACATTGAAATTTAGGTTTAGTAGTTTGCCTGCTGAGTAGGTTCTGACTGGCGCAGTGTTAAGCCCTCAATTGTTTACTCCTGAAGCATTGTCCCTTTTGAAGCTGAGATGCAGAAAGATGGGTACTTTATTGAGTGTAACAGTATCTGACTTGTTATATGTAGTTTTCCTAAAATTCTTAATATACTTCTGTGTCTGGAAGTTGTTTCTTAAGCACTTTTCAGTACTCATCAATTTTTCCCGAATTCATCATTGATGTATATTTTATCTATGCTATAAAATACTGTTTTGATCAATGCTTTCTTAGAACTGTTTGTGACAAAAAGTCTGTTCTTTAAGGTCCTACTATAGTAATCATGTAAGTTTGGTAGGTAAGAATACAGTTACAAAGACACGAGAGTGAAGTCATACAACTAATCGTGGGTTGTTTTTTATGGATTATCAGGACTTCCGATATCGGTATTTTCTCATGGACAGTAGGTTTGTGAAGTATCAAACTAATACAACAAAAATCACCAACCAAAACTTTTGCCTGTGACCAGCCCTAGGCTATTGTGTTTTGCTCTGTAGTCACACTCCGAAACTGAAAATGTCTCGATATAAAATTCACTTCCTTTTTCAAATTATTTAGCATTATATATCCTTCCACAGTGAAATAAATCGGAAAGCTCCAAAAGTCCACAGAACTTTAACAGTACTCTAGCTAATCTTCTCTTCAACAAATTATCCTCCTTGATTCCTAGTATTACTTCTGTCCCTGTTATTAATCTTCTTCTAGTTTCGTCTTCTATCTTACATGCAAGAGGTGCTAACGGCCCTTTCTTATAATATGCCTACCGTTGTACAGTGCGGTAACTATTTGCTGAAGCCTGAAATGTTCAAGCCCTATATCCGAGTGGACAATTTATTTAACTTGTCTTGGAATTTCATGTCATCTATGTTTTCCATGTCCTCTAAATCCCGATACAGGCCGTGGTAATGGCAATACGCTTTAAATTGCTTAACCATTAAATTTAATTTTTTTTAGGGTATTGGGTTTCAGAACGAATACTTGGTCAATTTTATATTCAATAATTTTTATTTCATTTCAAACTCTTACCCAGCATTATTATTAATCAGGCATCTAGAAATGAGAGACCATCTTTTTCTTCTCCTTTTAGGGTGAATGTGGTAAATGGATAAATACTGACGAATTTATCAACCTTACTGTATAAAAATCATGAATGTATCATCTTTGTAGTTATTGTAGAGTCCTATCTTGTTGACAAGTACGTTAATGAGACTGTCCTCGAGTTTTACTTGGATGATAAAATTATTTTAATCTCAGAAGGGAATTATGATAGAGTATATTGATTTGTCAGAAATTGTTGACAGATCATTGGTAAAATTAAAAAATTCGTATTTTACTACTTATGTGGTGTGTGCTACTTATATTGACATAAGTAGTATATGATGTTAGTCGTGAATAGAAGGTCTGGCGGCAGAGAGACAAAATAAAGAATGGAAACAGAATGCAATATGTATGAAAATGCAAGAACAATGAAGTCTGAGTCATCTTGATACAATCGCTGGACATTTTGAAAATTAAGCATTTACTTTATGATTGTTATATTTTATTAACAAGTCCTGTAATTTTGTGCTAAATACATTTGATTGTGAACATCCTCTGCAATATAGCTCAATGAATGACAATGAAAGCTTATATTTTGCAACATTTGGTTAATATTAATCTTGGTGCGTAAGACTAATTCTTCAACATAGTTTATAAGAACATAGATGTCAGTCTAACTTGGAAAAGTACTTAATAAAGAATTACATAAATTTAAAAAATTACTCCTCTTACAATTAGACAGGTTATACTTAATAAATAACCCGACATGTTTTAATAGAATGTTAGTTGGAACATTCGCTCAGAATGTCTGCCAGTCAATCAAACAATCGAAGACTGTTTATCCGTGATAAACCATTACTTATGAATTTCAGAGTATATACTTTTATAAGGTTTATAATACACTTAGCTAGCTAATTTGGGATCATTGTTAGTACGAGTCCATACATTGAAATCAACATCTGTCAGAAGATAAGCATATGAAAATTTCATCTACAAGACCACGTCCTATGTTGAAGTTTACGGATAAACATCACAAGTTGGTTTTTCAGAAATGCACATTCTGTTGAAACTAAGCTAACACCATGTTTCCATTCATAAATTAGGATATAATTAGTATTCGAAATTCTATAACTAACGACCGTCAATAATTAGATATAATAATGTAATAATGTTTCGAAAAATATTTCTTCCAAGTAACTAAAATGTGTATTTAAACTGTTAAATATTATTATCTGTATAGGGGGTGGTGGGGATTGTTAAGCTTTGATAGAGATTATTAATGGATCACTGGCAGACCAATATTGAAAACCTGGAAGAACTGGACAGCCGTTTCTTCCTAGTATGGGGCTCGTGAGCAGTACATACCCACGACTCTGCATCCGGGATTTGAACCTATGACATTCAGTCTCGCACGTGGATGTAGTCACTCACTGCAAACAATGGAGAACGATCGTGCAATACCGTAGATTGGTTGAAGTTAGACATTAACATCGTTTGGTGGTCTAGAAGTTAGGCGTCCGCAAGCGAGAATAAAGTTCGAGTCCCGAGTGCGGTATTGTGGATGTGCATCGCTCAAGAGTCCCATGCTAGGACAAAACGCCACCCAGTTCTTTCAAGTTTTCAATGGTGGTTTAACATTGATCTACTCATGATCTCAGTGTTAAATATGATTTAAGTTGACAAATCCAATTTATATTAAAGACTTGATAACTGAAATCGAGATCGTATGAATTTTCAACAAATTTGTGACCGACAGCTTCGGAGTCACTCCAACACTTACCGCTAACGTTTTATCAATAAATCAGTCTGTGGAACCTGAGATACCTTACCTACTTCTTATTTCTTTCTAATACAGTTCGATTTCGGTTAAACACGGAGATCTGGCCTTCAGAAATGTTATAATGAAGAATAGAACAACTAGATATCTCGTCCGATTATTCGAATTCTCTATAATCTACATCTGTCAATCTTATTCACCGACCCGTTAGTCAAGATATGCAAATTAAATGTTCATCTCTCTCCAAACTTAGATTTATAAGTGACTATTAAAACTGGATGAAATCTGTAAGAGTCATTGTCCTTAAATTTACAAAATTTTATTTGTTAGAACAGTCAATAATATCGTATTTCTACTGAACATATTCAAGATATGTTTATTTATGAAAAAAAAGATTTACAAAATTTCAAAATCATTAGAAGTTCTTCACAAAAATATGTTCCTAGAAATTTAACACTAGTTTCCACTACATGATAACATTATAAATGAAGTTATTATAAACCAGCATGTACTGAAAATCGTATTCAGAACCATTATTACTTCAGTGATCAAACGATGAATATTCATATATATATATAAGAGGTAAATCTATAAAATCATATTTTTTATTCATATTGATTATAATATAGTTTATTGATAAAATCATCACATCGTTATGATTATACAGCACTGTGTTTTTACTCACTCATTATTTATGTAGGGATTAAAATTTGTATTTATATTGAACTTTGTATCTTTATCACATTTCAATTGAACAGTATGAAGTGATTTTCATTTGAATAAACTTAGAGAAATAAATATATGTATTGATACAAGGTTTGGTGTAGGCATGTATCAATATTTGTATAACTTTATATATGTATATCTAATACCGGTACCATGATTGGTTCAAATAGTCTATTAAAATATTTTTAATCACTAAGTATTAACTACAATTTATGTAACAAGAAATATGAAATTATTAAATCAAATTAGAAATATCACACTACTAATGTACCATAAATTTCATAATTTATTTAATTCAAATAATAAATCTTTAGTATATTTTATAATTATCATGTTTATTACAATTTTGTATTATTCAATTCTAATGAAACTAATAAATCCTGAAGTTACATATATAATTGCTCCAACTTCATCTGGGGTATTTATACAATTTACAAACAATTCATTATCAGCAAATTATACTACTGAGATTGTGACACATCGTATAACTAGTTCAACCCCTAAAATTACCACTAAAACTTTTCATCCTCAACGCCGTCATCATCATCATCATCACCATCATCGTCGTCGTCCACGTTATAGACACAAAAAAATGAGATTGAGAAAAGTAAATTCATTGAACATCATCAAGTCAAAGTTTCAAGTACATTCAAGATTAAATTGGAAAAATAAAAAAAATAATGATGTTTTATCACAAAAATTTTTTCCTCCATTATATCTTAATCATTCATTTTGTTTAAATCAATCTAATTTTCATATTGATAATGAAAAATATATTAAATTAAAAAAATATCGACAAATTATAAATTTACCTAATGTATTAAGAGTATTTAATATAAGTCAATGGTTCAAAATAAAGCCAACTATATGTCAATCCAGTAAAATAAATTTATTAATTATTATATTCTCTCCAATAATAGATCATTCAATTCGTTATAAAATTCGTCAAACATGGGGTTCAATTAAATATATTTTAAGTGATACTATTATAAATAAACAATATTTTAATGGATTAAATATTATTGAACATTTATTTATTGTTAATATTACAAAATATAAATTTAAACAAAATTCAATTCATATTCAAAATCTTTTAAAAGAAGCACAATATGAAAAAGATATTTTAATTTTATGTTTAAATCATTTACAAAATAATTTAGCTTCATTATATCTTTTGACAAGTGAATTCTTATTAAATTCTTGTAAACATTCTATAGATTTTGTTTTATTTATTAATCAAGATTTATTTCCTAATTTAAATGCTTTAATACAATATACAAATTCAAAATTATTACATTTAACATCGAATACATTAAAACAAAATCATAATCCATCTATATATTGTATACCAATGATGCAAAAACATATTGAATATAATAAACGATTTAATAATTTATATAAAAATAATTTACCTATATGGCAAGGAAATATTTATCCTGCATATTGTGATATTAAAACTGGTGGTTTTTTATTATTATTTAAAACAATGAAACAATGGTATACATGTTCTCATTTATATATACCATTTAATCCTATACAAGTTTATTTAACTGGTTTTATAAGATATATAGCCAAAATTGATATTGAAAATTATTGGATAAATTATTGGTCAATTAGTAATTTGTTACCAAGTGTATCATTAAATAAGAAAAGTAAAAAATATTTATTTTTTCAAAAATCTATTAATCAAAATAATCGAGTATGGAAAAGTGTATTTCGTGCAACGTTGAGTTGATAACACCATATATATGTATGTACTTTTCTTCTGAATCTTACTTTTGTTTCCATTGAGTGGAAATATATTAATTCAAATTAATGAGTCATTTGAAATAAAAATATAAATCAAATTTATTATTTATTTACTTACTTACTGATGCATAGGACATACATTAAGCAAATCATCTAACTGCATCACGAGGCAAGCCCTAACTTGCAATCCTGAAGGATAGCGAAAAAAAGAGGAAGGCCAAAGAACACATTACGTCGGGAAATAGAATCAGATATGAAAAGGGTGAATAACAAGTCGTAAGAGCTGGAAAGGATTGCCCAGGACAGGGTTTGATGGAGAATTCTGGTAAGCGCCCTATGCTCCTTCACGAGGAATAACAGGCGTAAGTAATTACTTAGTTACTTACTTACTTACTCAAACCTCTCACTCCTAGTGAGATATAGGCTAATAACCAGTGATCCTGAACTAATATAATGCTGAGTTCTTAATTTAGTTGTTATCGGATGCTATCCATTTTTTTGTTGTCTGTCCCCAGCTCCTGGCATCATATTTTTTTCTGATTGCCTGTTTCCCTTTTCCCTGGAAGATTTCAAGTAAAGGCTTGCTTTGTGATCCATTTTGATGACTTTACGTAATTTGAGTACTATCTTCCTTCAGAGTCTTTTTCTAATTTTTTTAACTACCAACTATTTTGTTCTCTGACAGTAGCTTACACCTGATGATTTCTGACTAACAGATATTGAATATTTTGCGTCAATGGTTATTTATAAATACTTGTGCTTTTGGTGATGAATTAGGTTGTTCTTCATGTTTTAACTCCATACAATGGACCTGCTTTTTTATTTTTGAGTTAAAAATTCATGGCATTTGGTCATGAGTGACAGTTCTTAAGTCCCATATTTTTATTCAGTCGTAGGCATATCCGCTTTGTATTGCTGATCCGTGCTTTGACATTTGCATCAGATCATTCTGGTTTATCCCTAGTTCTGTCCATCTATTTAAAAGCTTTCACCTCTTCCGGGGCTTCTTCACCAAGTGTGATTTAAGTTTACTCGCTTCGTTGTACATCAGCATCTAACATTTTTGTTTTTGGATGCTGAAGTCTATATCTCATGACGAAACCGCTGATATGATGACTGCTTTTGTTTGCATTTGTTGCTGTTTATGAGACAGAATAGTTGAACTATTTCAAAAACCCAAATTTTTCAACTTCACCCACCATATTCCTTACTTCTTCTCAGATGTCGCGATCATCATCTCTCCGACAGCTAGAAGAAAGAGAAAAGATGTTAGGCAGCCTGTATGACATCAGTATTCACTTGGAATGTATCTGTGAGCTACTCTACGTGCACAACTTTGCAATTCAGTTCGTTGTAGGAGTTCCGCATGATAGTGACAATCTTCCTATGTATTCCATACTGTGAAAAAATCTCTTAGAGTTCTCGTATTCACACTATTGAATCAAAGATGTTGGTGTATGGCGGTGAATTCCTTTCAAATGACTGATCAACAACGATCCACAGTGTCAAGATTTGATGGGTACATGGCCGATCCCTACGAAAGCCAATTTGTTGGTCCCGATGTTATGAATCTACTGAATCTTTCATTTGGTTGAGCGGCGTTATGTTCAAGATTTTTCCGATACTGATAATATTGTAATTTCTCTGTAGCTCTCACATTCACTAAGATCTCTTTGATAGGGTATCCCACATTGGGGTCTTTTGTTACTTGTTTTTCGCACATTTTTAGGAAAAAGGACATGGGACAGTTACCCCGATATCTGACTTCAGTTCTAGGTTGTGACTAAATTGTTTGGTTTAACACTCAACTTACCTAATGAGTCGGTGAGCACCTCCCTTAGACTGAGGAAGGGCGTGATAAGAACAGTACTCAGCCCCGTTCTGTCACAATTAGTGAATAACGGTCATCATCCTTCAGAGTGATTATCGTATACTTACTGTTTTTCCTTCTGTCTCGTCTCTTACTTATGGCTGAAGTTATAGGGATTCGGGTCAATAACCAAATCATTTATATTTATAAGATATTTTCAACACCGTCTCTTCCTTGCCTGAATTAGGCATAGCGAACGATTTTCCTTGTTATTATAATTTGTTTTCATATCCTTTTTTCATTTATCTTTATCCGCCTCTTCTTCAAATATGTCCTTTTCTATCGAATGATTTCAATACTTCTTATAGTAGTGGCTGGTTCTATGTCGAGCCCACATAGCTTATTCTAGCTTCGGGAAAGGCTAATATTTCCATTCTTCTCAAGTCATATTTTGACATTGTTAATTATTCATTTATCAACCTTGACTGTTTTCATATGAGCGTATGTGTGTGTACATCTTATCCCACTCATCATATGTCTCTAACCTATTTTTATCTGGCTCACACACCTCCACCGCGCATCAGTTCGATTCGTTTCTCTCATTGCCTGCCCAGATCAATGACTGTACAGAATGTATATATTCGAAATCCATTCTCGTATTTGGCTTATTTAATTTCTTTATTCACTGAAGCGGATTAAGTCGATAATTGAATACGAGGATTGGCAACATATACGCTTCGACATGTATATCTCAATAACGATCAATCATACGACCGAACTGGAGTCAGATATAAGGACACTAAATTAGTATTTTCAGTTTGGGATTGTGGAGATTATTGCATTTCATTGAAATCACGAACCAATCAACGTTAGACAGTTAGATGTTGGCTCCGAGGTCTAGAGGTCAGACATTCGCGAGCGAAAGCGAAGGTTTTGGGTTCGAATCACGTCTGCGGGGTCGTGGGTACGTACTTCTGGGGGTCCCATACTAGGGCAAAACGGCCGCCCAATGCTTCCGAGTTTCTAGTGGTGGTCTAACATTGATCGGTTCATGATTTTATTGGGATATCTCACTGCTATTTTAATGAATGTTGACTCAATGTCTGTATTTTCTAATCCTACAACTTAATTCCTATTATGAAACATTGGTTCAAGCCCTTATTATTCTTATCGCAAATAGTATATCTGTTGTCTCAATGTCAAGTCGTATCTTTTACTTATTATATCTGGTTATGTATTCTGTTAACTCGTAAATTGTCTTGGTTGATTTATCTTCATAATATGCATATAAACATTACTGTATATTAGAGTGCCAACTGATGAAAATTTGATTGAAAAAAATATTGTTGGCTTATACGTGTTGTTCTAATTTACAAGATAAGAATTTTGAATACATTTTAAGTATACTGTGTTAAGAGGATGTAAAGAGAAATTTTGCTTTTCAGTAGATGGGTATTATCGTTTGTTTTTAACTGTAGCTAATGGTATATCAAAACGTTTGCATCATACGTAGCATATGTTGGTAGGACTTTGCAAAAAAAAACTTAATTTAATCTTTATGAATTCATGATAACCTGATTTCAAAATACACAAATATAGTGTTTTCTTTTATTGAAGGCATGAAAGTGTACTCTTATGAAATTTTACGGATTACAGCAACTTAATGATTTGAAGGTAGTTTAATGTTAGTTTGTTCCTCAGATAACACCTTTTTATGACAAAACCTATAGCAAAATTCTAAAACTAACAACTTTTACTCTATGTTCCTAATCCAATTCCAAACTCCAAAAATGTTGTGTTGTGAGGTCGTACGAGTCTGCAACTGATGTATACACTCTTTACATGTGTACACAAACTAGTCACTTGAGTAAGAAAACTAAGAGTAGGGAGCTTTTATTGGCAGTTGGCATTGACAATACATACACAACTCAGTTGTAGTTCTCAGAAAGTTAAACCATATTTTCGACCAGTATCTATTTATTTAGACAGGAAAGCCGAATCTTGACTAATAGCATGAAACAGTTAGCACATCGTTCGTCTCCTTACCCGCGTCTGATTGGCCCAGTATATCATTTTTTCGTAAAAAAATAAGTCTTGCTGTTTAGTCTCAGCTCTTAGAATTCAATTGGGAGAATATCCAGTAACATAGAAAAATATTTAAAACATAAAAGATATTTGTTATCCAACCATTACCTCCATTTTCTTGGAAAATCAAAGAAATCGGAATGAAATTATTTTTTTAGGCAACAGTTAACTGACTAATTTATGAAGGGATTTATTAAGGTTGAAGACAGTTTACATCATGGACCGATATGAGTAGAAGAACTGTTTGAGATATTGGATCTCCAGATACAACGTATTAAGAAGAAATCAATCTTAAAAATTCATGTTTTGATATAGGACGGTTTACGTTTAGTCATTTTTCAGGACCCTTTCAACTGTATTGATTCATTCAGTAGGAATTTCATTTACTTCAACTTTCAATGAATTATAATATATTTGTATTGGTGTTCGACGCTGCAGTCGATCAGTTTATTCTGGCTGGATTTGAGAACTGGAGTGAATACCAACTCTGGTAGGCAGGTACATCTAGCTGACGAGTCCCAAATGGGAAGAAGCGCGGGTCCTGGACTCCACTATTACCCATCATCCATCTCAGTTTATAATTTCAGTGAATTGTCAATGTATTAATAAACTTACTGTAACATTCATTCAGTATGACAATTTCTTTATTAATAATCACTGAATGCAATTGGTATATAATTGAATGATTTCAAATGTAATTTTTTTCCAGTTCTTATTGAGTCTCTATCAATAAAATTTTGGAAAAGCTTGGATTACTGTCTATAATTGGTAAGTAGAGAAAATGACAGAAAGTAGCCTCCTTCATAACCATTTCAGTCCGAGTTGCGAATCATTAGCTGGGTGCACAATCATATCAAGACGAAGTGAAATTTAAAGGGTATTCAATATCTACTACTATCTTCTCCCAGTTTAAGACTTCCAGTAGTATGTACCGACAAACTTACCGAGGCTAGAAACTCTTTACGTTTAGATCATATGATAAGTCAGTATTCACTAGTCAATATTTTTATAATTTCTTCACTTCAGTTAAATAGATTAAAGTACATGTTTGAAACTGAGAAAATAATCAAACCTACTATAAGTATAAATAAAGATCAAATGTCATTATTATCATGTACCATTCAAGTTTTAATTTTCTTCAAAGTTAAAGCTATTACACAATTCAGTGATTTTTAGGAAATGA